TGGGCTGCACTTGAAGTTATAATTTAATTTGCTAAATTGGGTATCACATGAATAAAGGTTCGGTGGTGTAATTTTTATAGAAATGAAACTTCCCCTTTAAAAGTTATGTTTGGCAGTGTATATAAGGCTCTCATTTATTTGCATAGGCATGCATGTGTTGTTACTATCTTTGTATGGTACTTATACATCCTGTTTCTACTGGAACAGCAAACTAAACTCTTAGAAACTGACAGATACAAACATTTTGTGACTCGATTGCATATTGATTTAATGAAGGTGGCCCAGGCACCATAACCACTTAATGTAATGTACTTGTACCGGTGCAAAGAATCTGAGTGCTACCACCCTTATTTATGTTAATAGGTGGTGGGTTTTTTTGTGTGTTTTTTGGCTAAAACTGAGGTTCACCAAGCACGCCTGCTGCATCAAAAAGTGTCTTTTCTGCACTATTTGGGTTTGTGATGTCCTCTAGACATCCTGCCCAGAGAGAAGATATGAAGCAGGTACAAGAATATGAAGTGTTGTATTTTTAATTTCATTAACTATTTCAGTGATATTGTTCTTCAAGTAGCTTCCTATATTGCTCAGTCAATTTAAAGAGGCCCCATAACTATTTGTGTCACCATAGCAGTTAAGGTGCAAAGAGGCTATGGATGCTGATTTCTATTTAAAATGCAGATTAGGGAACAACGCACACATAAAAAATACAGTTTAAAAAACTACTTAAAATCGCCTATCTTAGAAAACAAATATTGGGATTCAGTTACACCATATGGCCGTATTGTGTTAAGCCCACCATGATGTCACTGTACTCCAATACACCAATATTGGTGGGCCCTACACTAATTTTAACATGGGAGAACATGCTTACTGCAATACTTACTGCTTTCAGCGACTCTCGATTCTCAAATGTCTTCTATCCTGTGGCACCCATGGTGATTGGGTGAGGTGCTCAAACCAATCAGAATCTGGTCTGGGTTTCAGATATTCACAGAAAATAGGGGAATTAGGGGCAAACCCGGAACATGTATTTCTAAGTAGTGGTTGTAGCGAAGCTCCCTGTACCCTGGCTGGGTACCTCCACCAAGGACTGCTTCCTAGCTGGAACAGGGGACAAACCGCAGCACTTCTGCCCACAGTTGCCATGGCTTGACTGGGGCCCTGGAACCGCTCTCCTGGAGCCGAATGGGGAATTCGCTCTAGCAGCCCCCAGGCACTGGACGACACTCAGTCCTGAGAGCTCTAGTCCTTACAAGGACTTTCCCCGTTGAATCCTGCATGCTGGAAAAGTGACAAGCCCTTTCCCCTTCCAGTAACCAGATGACACATAGTTCTGGGAGAACAAGCTGGAATACTTTAATAGCAGCCACCACTGGCCGTATATGCATGTCCCCATGCAAGAGGCACTCCCCCCTGGACCTGAGAGTAAACCACAGTAGAAACAAATACACAATTACATTGGCTATCAGGTCCAGGACATTCCTATACAAAATCAGATAATCCCTCCCCTGTGCCTAGGAGATAATTGGATAAGGAACTGTACTAATCTAATCCAATTATCTCCAAGCACAGAAAAAACATACTTTTTCCCAAACACCCCAAAAGTACCCTAAAAATAAACAAAACTCCACAAAAGGTACATCTCCTGATAGTCCTGATCTGGGTGACCAACATATCCAAAAATCACCCAGATCAGTTCAGGGGTTCAGAAATTTCCTGGAAGTAATTTATTTGACCGACCGCATGCATGGTCCTATGCGCAAAACAGTTCCAGAGAATCAGGGCTTGCGGTCAGTCTATTTCGGTAGTTTATAAAAGTGAACAAACTACCGAACGGAATCCATAGTTCTACCCTGGAGCTTGTTCACTTTATTCAGACGAATGATTCCACCGAATGGTGTCTTCCCAAGTGTTATAAAACAGTATCCAAAAATAGTTCCATGAACTTGATGACCAAACACCGCTGCCTGTGTTCATGCGAACAAGATGGCCGCCACCTCGTGGTTGTCAGTAGGAATTGCGGCCACCCAGACGAACACCTAGAACACTGAGGTGGAAATTGCTTTACAAACTCCAAGGTGGTCTCCGGTTTGTGCAGGTGTTCGGTTCCCGAACCATATAGTCTAAGTACACGAACTGAGACTTTTATATCACAGTTTACAGGGTCCATAGTCTGTGGGCAGGTGGCTGGCAAGCAGGCTCCTCCAGGAACTCGTGGCAAACTCATTTGAAAAAGGAAGTTTGTCACAGTGGTGCTGCCGTGAAAAAAACAAAATATATACAACATGCAGGTTAAGGAACAGAATATGGCATCTTAACATACCAACTTCCAGGTATGCACCCAATTCCTCTGCCTCGACTCTCCCCTCTCCCCCCCCCGTGCCGACTTTTATTTTTCAGACCATTTGGGAGCAATTGACAAAAACTGTACTCTCTCTGACACTTGTAGCCAGCCCCCTTCAAAAGTTGCGTTGATAATATTAAACTTCCACTTCCACATTACCACTCCATGCAACCAGGATGGCAGTGGGTGGCAGAGAGTTGGGCACAGCCTAGTTATAGTACTTAACCTAATTAATCGGTCCTGTCCATGTGGAACTGAATTAATATTGGTAATGTGGATAACGTCTTTTATCAATGCAAATGTAGACAAGGCCATCCATGTGTAAGCCATTGATGGCTTTCTCTAACCCAAGTTAGCTATTGCTCTTTTAAATTAATTAAAGACGTAATGGAGGAAAATCAAGGTTAGAGCAAGTCAAAGATTTTAAAGTGAAAAAGAAAACCCCTGAATTTCGTAAACTTAATGAAATTAGTGGAAAAATCTAGAGAACTGTCCTTTGTTCTCTAAACGTTTTAAATCACTGTTTGTCTAATCCTCATGATGAAGTGTTAAAGTACTAGGATCAAATTCCTACGGTGCAAGTTAACTTTGCACAGTTAAAAAAAAAATAAAAAAAAATATCTTTATAAATGCAGCACCAAACTTGAGAGAACCAGTGGTCAAGTTGGTAACTTCTTGCAAATTTTTTTTTTTCCCCCTTGGTTTCCAGCAGCTGCTTCTCAAAGCAGCGCTCTAATTTCCAGAGCATCTGCAGCAAAGGTCCACTGATTCCACTTTCTAGAGCAGTTTTCAGGGAGAAAATTTAGTAGATCTGACTGCAAACACATTTATTAGATGTAGCTGATGGACGTATTATACTACTATGAAAATAAGATTCTATGGTAAAAAATACTGTTTTTGTGAAACTGGTAATAAGATAGAACTGATGAAATGCCCATTTGTCAAT